GTAAATGTCAAAAAAGTTAGTGAATAGGTCGGCTGGACATTGGCAAAATAATTCTTGGAACTTTATATGGGATTGCCATTTAGGAAAAAAAGGTTGCAGGAATGCAATGTTTATGACGCTAGATGGCGCAATTCTTATAAATTTAGGAAATTAAAAATTTTGTCTCTAATTCTGGCACTTCACTTATTTATAAACTTGACATCACTCTGTCTCTTCATTCCTTAATAGAGAATGATAAGGACAGACTGTTGTCAAGTTTACTTACTCAAATACGAATAGTCAAGCGAAGAGCTGGCATAATATGATATTTGTGTCACTTTGTGGTGCTTGCCTGGTGTATGACGCGCAAAGGCCCTCGGACTCAACTCACTTTGTTTATCTGTAGTTAGGATAACAGGCTCCTAGTTCCTAGAAGGTTTAAAAAAAACTTAAATTTGTACATGATTGGCATTTTGGAGAAGCTCTGTAAGGATTTTAGTATTGTAAGAAATGGTTAAATGTAGGTTAAGTTAGATTATCGTTTAAGATAGACTAACAACGTCATAGAAATCATCAAAACGTGAATTTGATATAAGCTGCTATTCAAGTAACATAAATTGTATGAAAATTTTAAAATTCTGTTCGTTTAGACGTTACGAAATTAGTTTTTTTTTTAAATATAAAAATTAATTATGTATCATAAAATTAAAGCAAGTCACATGCATGCTTCCAGTTTGAAAGAAATGTTTTAAGGCTCGTTATAATAAACTGATGAACAGTCTTGATGCCGGCACTCCACTTGGTTATTCGTGTTTGCTATTTGTGAACTTGACAACAGTCCGTCCTTATCATGCTTTATAAGAAATGAAAAGGACAGGCCGATTTCAAGTTTTAAAATAACAAACACCGTGAATAGCCAAGCAAAGTGCCGGCATGAGTTTACTCTCGAACATGTGTGGGGCTTCTTGAGAGAACGTAATCAATTTGTTATACAAGCCTGAGAGTCATGTTTAGTAATGTTTCTTTATCATTAGTTGTAATTTAATTTTTAATTGTATTACAACCGTTAAGATTCGTAGTTAACTGTTAAGTTGGGCTACCAAAACAGGGCCCCCCGACGCGATTGTTTAAAAATTTTCCAATTTGATTGTAAATAAGAACGATTTAATTCCATATTATTTTGTTTCGCTGAATTTGTTTGATTTTTTTTTATATGTAAAAATATATAATTATAAGCAGCAAATACAATCTATTTGGCGTCCCGTGTTTATACGCGTATCATCAAGTACAAATTTAGGATTTGTTAGTGAAACAGTCTCCGATTGGTGGAGTGGCTAAGTCATAACTTATTCTCCGATGGTTATTTTATAATTTGAAAAACTGTACAGCCACAGTGTAGTGTAAAAGTGTCCCATTCCAAAAGATCTTTAGATAATGTTACTTTACTGGAATAATAGTGACGGTATTTCGCTCGACCCCTTCCCTTCATCAAAGGTTTAGCTTTAAAGATTGTTGTTTGCCTTATAAAAAAATGTGATCTTATGACGATTATACATAAAGGATGTCGCAGTCCGTTGCGGTCGCAGGCGTTTGAAATTTTTAATGATAAAAACAAAAACTTGGGTGTAAAATGAATCACATGGTGTTGCTATGATAAAAAAAATATATAATCTCGAATCGTACGTTGTTTATGAATGACGCAAACAGCCTGCGGCCGCGGTGCGTTCGGAAGAATATGCCTTGTATAATGATAACAAAATGAATTATGTAATATAGTAAGACTTGACAATGTGGGTGTTGCGATGGGCTCACTCGGCCTGCTGTCAATTGGATACAGTGTAGCGTTAAGGGCTTTATTGAGTGGGGGTTGGAGGGTTGCGATCTTATTATAGGAGGATATTCTCATAATTACTGCTAGTTTTAGGTTATTTTTCGCAGATTTGCTACGGAAAACATGAGATTTTTTCGTTCAACGTTTACTAATTTAGTGGGATTTCTTAACCTACTTTTGATTACTACATCAATCTACTGCTGCAGGCTGTAAGGTGGTTGAAACTGGGAAAATTGTACCAGTTATAGGTCGCGGCAAACTGCTTCAGCAAAACCATAGACAAATAAACTTGCGCAGTAGACGTTTTTGTGTAAAATTGCTAGGTACTGCGCAGGCTTCCTTGCCTATGGTCGTTGCTCAAGAAGTTCGCCGGGATATATAGTTGTGTTTGAACGATAAATTCACATTTTCCTTAGCGCTAGTAAAACAGGAAAATAATATCACTTCTTTTTACCAGCAGTAATTCTTAGAATACCTCGTGTAGGTGACGAAGCGGGCTTTTATGCGTATTAGGAGAGAATATAAGAATCGGGCCCTGTTCATAATGGTCTATTGTAAACCTCGTGTTGCATTTCCGAGTCGAGCATTCGTGTCCGTAGATTTACGTTTTATGTGTTAGAACGTTGACGCAACCACTGCCAACCTTGGCTGTTAGTTCCCCTATGGTGTGGAAAATGTTTTCTATTCTCTGTGCTATTTCCCACCATGTTACTAGTAAAGCCCTCTCCGCGTTTAAAAAGTATATATTATATTAAAATTGAAAAAAAAACTTTTTTATGAATCATAAGATGTTCTTAGTTCCACAACAATGAATAAAATGTGTAAATTTTCTTATTAGTAAGTAAAAGATCTCATATGTCTTATTTTTGTTTTGTCTTTTTTATATTTTGAGGAACTTCAGAATAGTCGAGTTGATTTAAAGACAACTTATGTAAAATAAAATATATTGATGTAAATAAACTGTCGTTTTATTATTTACCAATAAAAACATTCCATTTATCTGTCAATATACATAAAACTATCATTTAATATTTATTTTTACTAGTATTCGATTGGATCTTAGAAATAATTTGTATCTTAAAGTTAGATTATGAGATTGTGTATCTAAAATAGCGAGATTGCATGTTTTATACATTCTTCATGTCATTTTTCACTTTTCCAATACATATTGATACATCAAAATTAACCTATGAAATTAAATGTCAAATTTGACATATTTGTGTAAGAATGCTTAAAATAGCCACAGACCTTCAAGTCTTATTTTAATGAAATGAATGTGTAGTTCAACATATTTGTGTCATCCAAGGTCGCCATTTTAGACCACAAAGTATGAGCGGCATGGTACACGATAAAATTATACTGGGATATCATGATGTTGACGACACTTGATTTGGGCGGGATGGGGCGTGGCCGCGTGCCTTTACTAGTATGGGGCGGACTTTTAGTTCTTAACGCTTCCATACGCTCCATACATTTAGTAGACTCTCTTCTTGAGTTTAGTAAGGGTAAATTTATACTAGGGCAGAGTCGAAGCGTAAATCCAATAATGAACATAACAAAATCAACCTTATCTCCACAGTGGACGGCACACATTACTTCGGAGATTTAAAGACTGATTGGTGAGGGCGCTATCTCGCGAATCCGCGCGCTCACTAACGAACCTATGCGTCATCAGTCGGAAATTAGCCTTAGCCGGCATTGGTCACAATGGATTCGGACGCGAAATTAATTTACTTGATGCAAAAATATGTACGTATTCACGAGAATACGTGCGCATTCGTACAACTTGACTTTAGTTGTAAAGAAGTTTACTCTTCGATACGCTTCGACTCTGCGCTAGTATAGATCGACCCTAATAGAGGAATTAGGAATTTGGGCAGCATAGTGATCAGTTATGAGGGGAAGTGGGCAATGCCCTTTCCATACAAATGTTCCCGACTGATTCCACCTTGATTTTTATCACTAAAGTAATGAATCTTACACATAAAATATAATTTTACTCATTCCATGCTCCTATGTCTTCCCTTTTTTTGATAACTTGCGTTTCATAGAAACTATAAGCCCTCAAAAATGCCAAAAATATTTTTTATCACCACAAAAAAAGTCTAGTGTGGACATACCATAAGCATTTACAAAAAAAACAAAACATAGAGGCTTAGTATAACTACTTATTATTCTATCGGGAAAAAATTCTTTTACATATAGGTATTTAATTTTCTGAGAGGAAATCGTCGAGAACAAAACCCCGAATTTTGCAATTTTTATACTCATTTTCAGCGTTAGCTACTGTTGTCCCTATCGCACGGTATTTGCTAATACGCGACAGCAATAGTTTTTTCAAATGCCTATTTGTTAAATGTCTCTCAGCTCGTGTCCGCTCTCACCCCCTTATAATAAACAAAGACTAAGCTTGGATTAGTTACTCCATATTTCGACTCTGTTCGTTGAATGACAAATGGTATTAAGTGATATGAACAAAACACGGTGTAACTAGCCTAAGCCTCATTTATTAATTAGGGGATAAGGGTTTTGGAATCGGTACCCTTAGCACGAACTAATATCGAATTCAAATATGTTTTGCGAGTGCAAAATGTCATTGTCAAAATTTGTATGGAAACTTGAACAGCAGCGCCACAACGGACGTAACGAGAACTAAAAATCAATACACATGACGTAAAATAAATCGAATTCAACTATTCGAACAGGGCCGGATTTAGGATTGTGGAGGCCCCGGGCCACTTAGGATTTGCATGCTTGTTGACCCATCGAAATTTTGTTATTTCTTAAGCTATTGTGGAGGCCCCTGGGCCACAGCCCCACCTGCCCTGCTTTTAATTCGGCCCTGAGATTAATATAATCAAATAATCATGTATGTTAGATGTACAAAGTACTGTAGGTAAAGGTAAAAGAGCAAAAAAAAATATCAAAGGAAAAGATGTTTACTAGTGTTTACTAGTTGGAATTTGAAAGATTTTTTTTCCGAAGTCTATAATGGGGGCCCCCTGTTTGTGGAGGCCCTGGGGCTTTTGCCCCGGTTGCCCTCCCCTAAATCCGGCAGTGTATTCGAATACGATAATGGCTCGTGCAGGGACTTAAGGACAGAGTATTAGAGGCATAGTACACTTCAAATATTATTTGTTGAGGAAATTTTCGGAGTAGGATTTACAGTACCCTCAGCACGAGTTTTACAATTACGAAAACTATGATAGTTTTGAGCTCAAACTCGTACTTAGGGTACAGGACGGTAAGAGGTTAGTTCTGTTTCAAGATTAAGGATATGTTGTGTAGAGGGCGATATAAGGGTTTACAGTTAAATGTTAGTTCTGGGCGGTCGAGGGCGGCCCCTATAGGCTGGTCTAGGGCGGGGCCGAGTGCCCTTACTAGTATTAGGTGGGCTTTTAGGCCTCAACGCTTCTATTCGTTCAGTACATCCGGTAGTTTCCCTCCCCTCGTTGAATTGAGCCGCGTAAGCCTCCGCCTTGAAGTTGGAGTTGGTTAGCTCGGGTCCGATAGTCACCCAACCCGGTCTGATAGTAGAGTCCCGGCCGAATAAGTGGATTCTGTGAGAGAAGAAATTTAAATAATCTATACATGTAATAAAATGGAAGTCAACTCTGTACATTGATTTCTTTTTAAAAGAATACTTGGGGTGTGGTGCGATCTACAATCGATACCGAAGCGAAAAATATAGTTTTTAGAATTTCTGTCTGTTTATCTGTATGTATGTCCGGGATAAAGTCAAAAAGTACTGCATGGATTTAGAAATATAATACGCAAACATTTGCACCACCGGGATTCGAACCCGCGACCTCTTAGTAGCCGACACCTAGAAAACCGGCGTACGACCGAGCCATGGAGGGAGGTCTTCAAATGTAAATGAAACAGGATACACAACATTTAGTTTCTTCCTCAAAAGCAGCGATTTAAAATACTGGTGACCAGAGAATGGGCCAATACAATATAATATTATGCAAAAAAAATTGCAACAAGCAAACCGAATTTAAGACAATTTGAACGTAAGACAGGTTTAGTTATCCAGTACAATCTCAAGCTCTCTCGCAAAAGAAATGCATAATATTTTTGTTTTTATATGAACCTATTACAAATGTCAATTTGTGGAGAAAATAACATTCAAATCTGTGCTTCACTGAGGATGAATAATTGCCGTGTTATGAACTCTTAAGGCTAGACTGCTGTATCGTGACTTGTGACATTTGATGTCTTGCTCTATCAATGGAACTTGCTTGACGTAAAGAATTCATAGTACGACCTCTGGACGTTCAAAAAGCAGGAGCATTAAGCTGCTGTCATTGAATATTACAAACCATCTCGTTTACATACTGAAACTCACCTTCTTCTTCCTAGGCAAAAATGTTCCATGATGTGAAATATTTCTATCGGTTTCTCCGTACTCCCAAACTCTGGGTCTTCAGATATAATAAGATCTATATCTACGTTGGCATGGATGAAATTTCCGTCGACGGACCGGCGTACTGTGCCCTTGATTCCCATTAGGCAATGCTCTTTAGTTCTCTGGAATACTGCGTTGTGCTCCAAGTTTTTGGAGTGTCCTGGGTTTTTTATGTTGGTCTTTATCCAGCAGATGTCTTCACATCGCCGGAAACCCCACTTTTTTAAGCATTCTCTGCCCATGTCGAGGCCTGTAATATACCTTGCATCAGCAAAAGTTTTATAGCAGAACATTGATAAAGATAAATAATTGATGTTAACTGACTGTTATTTATCTGCTTCAGCAAATGAGTCTGATTTGAGCTGAAGGCTATCCTGGGAGCCTATTGTCTATCGGCGCGCTCTTTTTGCATTGTTGAGAATAATATTAAAGAAAATGAGTGCGAGGTATTTGAAAACCTTCGGCGATCAGAAATAACAAAATGACATCATATGCAATAGCCAAAGCAATCCCGATAGACGGTAGTCCCCGTGGTGACAGATTAACCAGGTAAAAAATCTGAAGTTTACATAGACGCCGCGTCCGTGCGGGCGGAAGCTCGTGTCGAAATTTAAAGAAGCACAATGATTTCCTGCCAGTTAGGAAAGTAAACTTAGTCAAACACAAGGCAGGCATAAAAGGATAAACCAAATTTTAATTGCATATCAAATATACAAAAAATATGTATAGCTACATCAACCTGGCAAAGCCACCACCTACAATCGCTCAATTTAATTAAATAGCATATTGTAGGTACTTTAAGTTTAAATTTGTACCTCTTGTTTGTTTGCTTGTAGTCAGCAGTTTTTCATCAAAAAATGAGCTGCCACAGGAAGATAAATGACCACACCTACGCCAGCTACTCGGTCCAGCGCCAGCATTACTAGCAATATAGCTTATTGTACCTATTCACAAAAAAAGATTTAGAGCAGTGACTCACCTTCGGAGCTGCCACACCACAGAAATATGAAGGACCTCGCCTGCGCCAGCTGCTGCAGGTCTAGCGCCAGCAGCTCGGGCCAGCGCCAGCCCGCGCCCAGCGGCGGTTCCACCAGGATCACGTCAAACTTGCTGCCCAGCTGCTTCAGGTCGAACGTCTGACCTCAATGGAACACAGTGTCATACAAAAACAGTTTACACAGGGAAAAAATGGAAAGGAGACCTGCTATTTTGGCCCAACTTTGTACCTTGGTACTAGGGTTTCTGTTCGAGAATTCTTGGACTTGAGAAGACTTAAGAAATCTGCCTTGGTTTGAGATGAGAAAAATGCATATACCAAGACTGGCCTTAAATACCGTTACAATTAAAAAATCATTAAATGACATTTGAATTTGGTATCTGTCATTCCTATATGAATATACCTAAGGAATGTTAAATTTGTTTAGTAATTTTTGCATCAATTGGTGCTAAATATTTTTCATGATATTAAAATGGGATGGCATTACACAGTTGGGTTTGCCAAATACAATTTTTAAAACTCTTCCATCTGCTTGGTATTACTCAAATGTTTGTGTTTGGGGCTATTGATAGGTACAATGAAACCTCTCTGTTTGTGAAAGAAAACATTTACAGAAAATTTTTCTTCATCTATTCACAGCTACCTAGCAAGACCATTTATAACAAAACTTTTTAATGTTGCAAGACAAAACTAAATCTAATTAAAACTTTACGGCTCTAGAGATAGGTCATTTCGCCAAGTTAATCTATGGTTAAACTTCTTCATACAATAGAAGGCTCTAACTATCACAAAAAACTGCTTAAGCCCCGTGGGTAGCGCGCCCGATCGGGGCGTGCAGTGTTTGACCGTGCGATGTATTTTTCGAGAGCGTCCCGATTGGGGCCTGTGGTCTTATTTGAGTTAAGGGTTAGATTGAATACTTTAAAGTTAAGGATCATGTAAATTTGTGTTATTTCTTTCAGAAATAATCATAAGATTAGGGAATCAGTACAGCTAAATTATGTACCACACCTTTAAATCACATTTCAAGTACATAGGAGGAGTAGCAGTCTCTGCTATCAAGTCATCTTTCAGTTTGATCAACTCTCTCAGCTTTGGATACTCCTCGAAACGATCGGCTAGTCCCACGTCTCTTATGAAATTCTGTGGCCTCTGACCAGTGTCCACAAAATGCTGGCAGTAATCATTGTGGGGATTGGATGATTGAGTGCCCTGAAGAAAACAAAACATACTTTGCAAAATCAGAAAAACTCTAGACACAAAAATGCACTGTCAGTATGTTAGTTATCTTTATCACTTATTATTGGATAGGTATACTTTTTCCCATTTGGATTGGTCCCAGGAAGTACAGTTTTACCTTTAAAAATGTTGAAGAGTCTGTGTAAACGAGGCCGTCGATTTGATCTTTAGCACTTGTGACTTTTTCATTTCCATCATTGTTTGTATCAGAAATGGCTTGCTTTTTGGCGGGGACGTCAAGAGATGCCCCCAAAGCATGTCGCAATTCACTAACGCTGCCGACGCCAAGCTTTTTAAAAACAAAATTAGTTATGTACTAATAGTAAAATAATTTTTAATATTGGTAGAGTCAGGTTATGTTTACTATACATACAGTTTGTGCCAACAATTTTTTCCGCTTTTGCGATCTCTCTCGAATATCCTTTAGTTTTTCACTCATCACTTATTTAAATACAATACCGCTATTTAAAGTTTCTTTGAATTGAATAAAATAAATCGTAGTCTTTTCTCTTCGCAACGAAAAAAATATTTGTGTAATACTGTTTTTTTTTAAATATTCTCCCTTTTTAGGGAACTAAAGCCCATACAGCCTTGTGTGACGCATTCAAATTTTTTTGTTGGAGTGTTTGGCACGAAATGTATTGAGTCAGCTTTCTCGATAAGCTTCTGTAAGGTAGTCAACACTACAATAAAGTTCTCACATCCACTTGACCGATATAGCGAATATTTTAAAGATTCCGTTAATTCATCAGTTGCGCAGACGATTGTAACACAAAATCACACCAATTTTGGATATCCATGATTTGATTTAAGATCAGTCTCTCCTTTTCATTTTGTATGGACAATGACAAGGATAGTGGTGCCAATTCTGGCGTGATTCTCTAAACTTAAAACTAAATTTAACATCAGTCTCTCCTTTTCATTCTGTTTAGAGAATGACAAAGATATACTGCTGTCAAATTTAAGTTTAGGTTTAGAGAATCATGCTAGAATCGACACCACTATGTTGTCAAATTTAAGTTTAGAGAATCATGCCAGAATCGACACCATTATATTTAATTATTTGAAACTTAAAAGGTTTGGTTTTTGTAAGCTTACTATAAGTTAGACCATGATTGTATTGTTTTTGTGTTAAATACTACACCCTAAAATTACCGATTTGATTTTTATGACTAAATGCGCGTCTCTAATTACAATGAAGAATAATAATGATTTCTTTAAAATGTAGAACTAATTTAAAATTTAGAATATGAAACTTCAGGAACGCACAAACGTCAAAACGGCCATTAATGCCGTTAATATATATATACATATAGATCAAGGAACTTATATATAAGTTCCTTGATATAGATAGATATCTGTTTCATGTATTTAGTATGGTTAGAGAGAGAATTCTGTCGACACATCGCGACACCCGTATAATTCTGTTGGTACTAAATGTATGAAACCGATCACCAGTGTGACCAGAATAAATTTTACGAATATACCGAAGCACCTCAAAAAATATTGTTACTGACTTGCACAGAGAAGATATAGGTACCAATAAAAATATTTATTTTCAAAACAGGTTTTAGTCATTCATCTACATATTTTTTTTATAAATATTTTTTTGTACTTTGTTTATTTAATTTATCTATGAAAATATGAGATCGCGTGTAAAATTAGATATTGGTATACACTGTAACAGAGATTTACTGAAACTAAAAATATTTTTCTATTTAACTATGTTATATTATATCTTACTTAATATTATAAATGTGAAAGTTCGTATGTTTGTTGTTTGTTACTCAATCACGCAAAAACTACTGAAGAGATTTGGATGAAATTTGGAACGTTTATAGATTTTGACCTAGATTGAGATATAGCATACCTTTTATCCCGGAAAAGTATTATGTACTGTGCGATTTTCAAATAACTAAAGTTAACGCGGACTTCGTCATGGGCGGTCGCTATTTAACTACATATATATTTATTTTAAAAAAGAAAAACATGCACTCTATTTAAATGACGACGTAAACAACCATACTAATTTAGGGAAATTCCTCAATTCCTTAAAATATTAAATCCAACGGAACTGCAGAACAGGAAATCATTGCACTTAAATCGTCCAAGCTCATAATATGATTTGCCTGTCATGTCCTAACTGAAACTTGCTGACCACTGATCCTAAATAAATCAAAGACTTAATACGGGAAATCAAAAAAATAATATTCTCGGGACGATCGCTTCAGTGCTGCCATAACTTTTTAATTATCCAAAATATATCAGAAAATACTGACCTCCGCCAATATACCTACAAAAATACCGACGCTCTAAAAAGTCGAAAAAATATACCGAAAAAGTATTAAAATACTGCATCTGGTTACACTGGCGATCGCGTCGGATCGCGACACAACACAACAGGGACAGATAAGTATAGTTCTACTTTACGTCAATGAACGAAACGAACCGAAAGATAAGCACACATATCTTAAAAGGCAGAAATATACTTATCTGTATTTTATGTTATGACGCGTTCGGTTTCATATATCCGGGCGCATCGCTCACAGAATTTTAAAGCCCACCATTCACTACACGCACCGCGAGCCGAACCCCGAGCCGTACCCATCCGTGGACAAATCCGTCATTGCCCACACAGTCGAGGCGGGGTTGAGGTGCGTGCGCATATACGGTGTGTTTTCTTTGGAAATAAATGCCAGTACGCTCACATACTGTGGTCGAGGCGCGGGTGAGGTAAAGCCGAAGGCAAGGCGGGGTCGAGGTGCGGGTACAGCGGAAACGGTCAAGTTTGCCCGAGCCACGAATGTACCATCGTCATTTTGTCATTTAATTTTATGCGTTGCTCCGTTTAAGATGTTGATTAAGTTGTATGAGAATATATTCACCTATTAGAACGTGTAAAGGAGGCACTTGGGACATTCTCTATGTAGAGTCGAGACTCTACATAGAATCCTCGACGGTTATAGTAGTATAATGCGAAAATACATTTTCCCCAACCTATTATTATCTTTCGTATTACAATAAGAGAAAAATGACTTCTTTGCTATTATTTAATTTTACACACATAAATAAATAAATAATAATAAATATTTCCAACACTCACACCAATTAGCCTAGCCCCAAAGTAAGCACTGTAAAGGCTTGTGTTATGGGATACTAGGGTAACGGATAGAATACATATACTGTACATATATAAGTATATTTATATAGAAATACATATTAAACATCCATGACTGGAGTACAAATGCTCGTATTCATCACACAAACATCTGCCCCCACCGGGATTCGAACCCGGGACCTCTCGAGTCGGCGACACCATGAAACCCGGCGTACAAACCACTCGGCCACGGAGGTAATAAAATAATAAAATAAAAATAATTTAAATAAACATAGCCAAAAACTTGGCTATCACTATTGCTTCTATTGAGCAGCATAATCTTCATTAATCGTAATTTAAATTGTGTTACGTATCGGGATGGGGTTCGAAATTATATGCCAGTTCACTCTTGAAAGTACTTTATTCACGACACAGTTGACGCAGTTAACACACAATTTTAATCACAATACGCTCACTAAACACTGCACTTCACTATACAAGTTTTTAAATAATCGCACTTGAACCATTTACTTGCACTTAGTTGGCTTTTGTATTCATTCCGAAATCTCTGTTGAAGCTCAACTGTTATCGCTTAGAAACTAAAATTGTCCATTGCGCGGCGCCGATCGCGCTTATTTTCGCCAATCGACGCATTTTAGAAATAACTAGCACCCGCGAGTGCGTAGTACCCTTTTTTTGTGCCTCGAAAATGCCTTATGCGTCCTTCAACCACTGGGGGAGCGAGAAGACTCCTCCCTGTCCCCTTCAGCCAGCCCTGGACACTGCCAGATTTAGGGGAGGGCAACCGGGGCGAAAGCCCCGGGGCCTCCACAAACGGGGGCCCCCCACAATAGAGACTTCGGAAAAAAAAACATTCAAATTCCAACTAGTAAACACTAGTGAACATCTTTTCCTTTGATATTTCTTTTTGCTCTTTTACCTTTACCTACAGCCTACAGTACTTTGTACATCTAACATACATGATTATTTGATTATATTAATATTAACCTAAATAACAGAAATCATTGATCTATATTTGTTCACTCCAATCAGGCAATCAGTGAAATATGAAAATCTCAAATGGCCCTGATATGCACTTCCAGTTTACTACCCATCTTGAGAGAGTACCCCAATCGCTTAATGGCTGAGTGGGGTGGTACTTGCCCGCAGGGCCGAATTTAAGGCAGGGCAGGTGGGGCTGTGGCCCAGGGGCCTCCAAAACAGCTTAAGAAATAACAACATTTCGATGGGTTAACAAGAATACAAATCCTAAGTGGCCCGGGGCCTCCACAATCCTAAATCCGGCCCTGGCCCTGGAGCACGCTGATGTGAACAGGGCCCTACCTACGCCCTGAACAGGGCCACTAAAAACCAGAAAATACTACTGCACCGTCACCCAACACGCACTATGAGGACCGCGGTCCCCCTAATGCGTGCCGAGAGGGTAGTACCTACTTATATCTACGTAGGTAACGCGCATAAATTGTAAATAAATGCAGATGTCGTTGCACTTTCTCCCTTACGCCGCGCTGAATAAGGCTCATATTAGAATGAGTGACCGGCGATGTTCTGGCAAAATCATAGAGGTATAAGAATAAAGTAGGGGAGATAAAGACTCTACTACAAGTGGAAGTGTCCCTCTAATAGAAAGAGAAAGAAGATGAGAGACCGCTAGCTTTCTCTGTCTAATCGCGCATGCGCATTGGCAACCGGAAGCATCTTACTATTTCGATGTGATGCCATTGGATGCCATGCGTCACAAGAGAGAGAGCGATAGCTAGCGGTCTCTCATCTTCTTTCTCTTTCTACTAGACGGTCACTTTTAGAGCCGCCTTCCCCACTCTATTTTTATACCTCTATGGGTAAAATCTGTCTCCATTATTTTCGCGGTTTTGTTTCGAGAGTGTTTGTGACAATTAGTTCTTAAGACAACAGAGGAGCTCTCTAGCCATGTCATGACCAACGAAAAGTCTAAATATTGTTCACCATAATATACAAGGCTTTTCTGGTTAAGACCTAGAACTATGCATATTTTTGTGTTACAGAGCACTGGCTCAGAGATTATGAATTAGTTACAGACTTAGATAATTATAAAGTTGTTAGTAGTTTTTGTAGGAAATCGGCTATCAGGGGAGTTCTGTAAGATTATGAGAAAATGCTCAGAGGGAGTTTGATTATAAAAGTTGTTCAATGCAAACAATACTGAAAAAATCCCCAGTATGTTCGAGAATTCTGATGCTGTGGTTGAGAACGATAATAATGATGTTTTAAACTCTCCTGTAGAATTCCTAAATTCTATTACATCTGCAGGACTACTACCGCACATTTATGTTGTATAGTACAATGCTTTTAAGAAATTTAAACCCGGCTGTTGGGTTGTTCGACGGAACCCATCTTTTTATTAGAGCGTTAGCTTCACGTGTCATTGATGCTGAAA